TTTGGAGAAATGCTCTGGTTTGTTGACAAAAAAAGGGGGGGGGGGGGGGGAAAGACAGAGTAAGGTATAATGCAGATTTTGGGGTATTTGTTTGCAGGACCAGAAAATAGTGACAGCTGTTAACAGCTTGAACAAATTGTTTGTAGTGGTTCCCTACCAAATAAATATGGTAAACCTTTCCCAGTTTTGCCTTATGTTCTTTTTTCCAAGCTGTTTATTAATAAAACCAACAGTGATGGTGACAGATTGGTTTCCCACAAAACCATGTGTGAAAGTATCTTTAAAAATAATTACTCTTGGTAAAATTCCACTAAATATATTTTAATGTCTCATAACAAAACTTTACAGGCCTGTATCGCCATCAGCCAAGAAATTCCCATGCTAGTACATTTATTTAATTGATCAAGGCATTGTAAGAAAGGTAAATAATATTACTGTTGTAGAGATGGGGTAACTGAGATTATGGTTTGAAACTGAGGTAACTGTTTGAAATTGTACAATAAAGTTGTCCAAAGTCATACTTTACTTATATCCATATAGTGCACAGTATCCACAGACAACGCAGTCAGGATGCCCACAGAAGTTCTACTTGTTCTCTGAACAAAACAAGGCACTTTTTTTTTCTCTCTCTTTTTTTTTTTCTGTCTAGAGGGAGGGGAAAAAGGTGTTTTACTTGTATATGGTTAGTATGTAGTCTCTTCGTAAATTTATGAGCTGTGTAAGTCAACTTATTTTTTTGAAAGGGCTTTGTACCTGAGTTTCTAATCTGAACTTCATAATTAGTGTAAATTTGCACCATCACAGGAGAAATGGCTAGGATTTGGAAAGTAAGTTTAAACCCACGCTAATTCCATAGAGATTTGTTTTTTTCAAATACCAGATTTCTCATCTGTTGAATGGATGAGACATTACACATCAGCATGGAGAGAGACTACTCCACTAAGACAGGTTACAGGGTTGAAGGAGATAAGGAGGTTTGTGTATTAGGGGTTTATCTAAAATATATTTCTAGTTGGATTATTACCTCTTTTATTATTTATGTCCACTCTTTAAAGGAGGTAAGAAGTAAAACACCTCAAAACCCAACAACCCAAGGCAAGATTGGGTCTTTACTGTACAGGAGTGTAGAAGTAGCAGGGAATAACAGCATCCAGGAAAGAGACCATCCAGTGCTCCTTTTAGAGTACAATGTGATTGTTAATGTCAGTGGATTCAGAGGTCTTGAGGTGGTCTGGGAAGAGATCTACTAGGCAATGATGCGAAGATACTAATCACTGTCCATTCACAGGACAAGTGTTGAACAAATGAACCTTGATGTGTAATAAATTAAGATATGAAACTGGAGGTGGTTTTTCAGTGCTTAAATTTCAAATGCTTTTGTGTCTTTGAAATCTATTTATTTCATCAGTGATATATAGGTGTAAACATCCAGATAATCTGCACTTGAGAGCTCTTAAGTTAGTTGCTTTTCCAAACATAAACCGTTAGTTTTGTTCAGAAGCTTTTTGGAATCAGTGAAATGTTAGTACTGCACAGGCAGAATTACTCCACGTTTTTTAGCAATCTATAAGTAATGATTAGCTTGAGTAGTTGTTATCGTGGCTATATGTAATGTGTGCTGAGTATCACAGCTGGTTTATTCTGACTGGTACATTTGGTGTATTTGAAAAATCTTGACTACATAGAGGTTTAAGGAATGTACTTAGGCCCTCTACTGATCATTCTGAGAATAGGAAAGAGGAAAAACTGCTCTGCAATATTAAAATGCTGGCAAAATGGTCTTTTTGTAAAAGGGAAGATATATGTAGTAAGAGAATAGAACCAAAAACTGTTCTATTTAAACAGGGCCATTCCCTAGCTTTATTTTTAGAAAGATTGGGGGGGGGGACGACAACAGAAGAACACAAAATAACAGATGTGGTAAAGACAAGTTATCCTGTTTTAAGATGATATAAAATAAAATCCATTAAAAGATCAAGTTTGCAAAAAGGCCCTATCCCAATGCCTTTTTTTTCTTTATGTTTTAAAAATACCTATTTAAAATCTAGTGCATTTTGTATTCAGGCTAGAACCATAACAAAATTAGACTAAGGGCAAGTTCCTGATAGTAACATTTGTCAAATCTTCTCTGAAGTTTTAAGAGTCAATTGAGGAGGTCTTTTACGGTCAGGTAATCAGGCAATCTGAGTACAAGTATTTAGTTGATATGCTTAATTCTGAGAAGCTACTTGAAAGTGTCAAGCCTCTGAGCGCTGCTTAGCATCACTTTCTCTCTCATTTTTGAGTGTGGGTATGTCAGGGAATGTTGTGCAATATTTTTCCAATTGTTTGATTATAACATGAGTTATTGAGTCTAAAGCTGTTTATTTGGAATTGATCAGTATCTTCATATCTTCCTGTATGCCATTGATTTCTGTGTATTGATGTTTTAGTTCATTGTGGTTACTGCATCACACTTCTGTATGCTTGCAGCTTCTTAAACCGTAGTTAATAAATCATGTCAGCACTTTATTAGCTAATGTGTATTTACAGTGCTTTGAAAATATGAAGTGTCAGGCAAGCATCAGAACTTTCAGAGGTGAGCCAGTACAAGAACATTACAAAACACTATGATGAGCAATGATACAATACGGTATGAAAATGAAACTAGGGGGGGATTTTTGGGAGAAAAAAAAGTATCAGGATGGACTTTATGCCTCTGAAGTCTATGCTACTGTTATTTCTATTGCAAACATTTTCAAAAGAAAAAAAAATTTTTTTTTTTTTTTTTTTAACAACCCACTTGAAAATGTGTGTCTTCATTAGCACGATACTAGTGCAACATTTACTGAGTCATCAACTTACTTCCAGTGTTCTGGTCCTTGAAGCTTCCTCACAAATCCCTTCATCTTGCTTAAACCTTTTTTCTCCCTCCAAAACAAGGTGACCTCATCTAAACTGAGTTTGGGAGCAGTCCCTGGCATATGTTGTTCCCAAAACTGTGCTACCCCAGACTCTGGGAAAGTCCTTTTTGACCTGATCCACAAATAGATTGGTGAGAGTTAGGCAAGCTAAACAGCCTTGACACTTTACCAGACACTGTACAGCCTGACACTTTGCCAGGCTTTGTATATTTGCTAGTATAGGTGTAGCTGTGGGGTCACTGAGCTTATTCTTTGGTGCGGTTTTCCATGGCGTCATGGACTGCTTGTTGCAGACCAAATTTGGCAGCTCTTGTCTGATTTTCTCATGCTAGAACAGGGGTAAAGGTACACAACCATAAAATTCAATAGCGGAGAAATTCTTAAAAAACATCATTAGCTTCTAACCTAGTATTAGAGTCCTGCTATGGCTTGATACTCACAGATAAGTGAATGCAGCATGTATGTCATAATAAAAGCACATGAAGAATAGTAAGACAGGAAGAAAGTAGAAGAGTATGTACGATAATTAGGGTTGCGTTACCTATACGTTGGAAGGCACTTGAACATGGGTATGCTCTAGAGGGTTGGAGAGCATGCAAGATCCCCAGGATGAAGTTTTTGTGAAGTATTTTTCTTGGTAAAGAAACCAAAAGTAAGTTTTGCAAAGTCTTTGTACATTATTGCTGAGTGTATTCATAACAGCAGAACTTGTGATTTTGAGTTCACTGCTTTTTAGCTCTCTTCCTTTTTCACTTCTTCTTCTTTTCTTTTCTTGTTTTTCCTCTTAATTTTACTTCCTTAGATCTAACTGGCTAAAACCGTGCTGTGGGAGACGAGCAGCTGTGTGGCAGGTATTTTTGCTCAGTGCAAGTCTCAACAGTTTCCTGGTAGCCTGTGTAGTATTCGTGGTGGTTCTCCTGACTCTGGAACTCCTAATAGATATAAAGCTTCTCCAGTGTGAGTAGGAGGAATTTTTTTTTCATTTTTTTATTTATTTTAATGAAATAAAGGCTTAACTTGCTGGGAGGTTTTTGAAGTTGGGAGGATGGTGGGCATTTATTTTTTTTCCTACCATTTAAATGATTACTAGGCTAGGCAAGAAATGCGGTTTTGTGGAACCCTAGTATAGTGAAGTCAGTCTCTTCCTTATTTTGCTGACCAAAATCAGCGTAGGACAAATTTTCAAAGGGTACAAGCAGAGTGTATGTGCAGACATCTGCACATATTGTTGTTAGTACTTGAAAAGGTCTGTCCTTTACGGACACACTCTGTATACACAGAAAAAAGATCATTTGTGCATCATTAATCTCTGATACCTTTCACATGCATGTGGATAGACAGAAGTGATGAAATTACTAGTGTATTTGGTGCTGTCTCCATTATTAATTTACTTCTACTGAGGTGGGTAGGAATTGGAATTATGGCTTTCTATCTTGTAATACACTGAAATGATACAGATTTTCATTCTACTTCACTAATACAGTGGGAGTCAAATCGTAGCTTAAGTGGAGTTTTGCTTTATCTGAATTCACTGTATGCAGGTTCCACAATGGAAATTTTAATGCTGTTGTTTTACTTCCTAATTAATCTTTTTTTTTTTCTACTGCTCTTTTCCTCCATTCCCTCCTTTTCTTTTTTTTTTCTTTTATGATGCAAAGCTGACATGAACACAAATACCAGCTACATTTTCCCTATTCTAAATGTTGAAGAGCTGTGCCTAGTATCTCCATACAATCTCAGATATGTTGAAATGGCAGTGATGGGATTCAGACAATCCCATAAATGCAAGAATACATAGCATGAAAGAGTCATGGTCTGATACCTTCTATGGCAACTTTAAACTGAGCAAATGAATGTTTTATTCTGTTGAAGTCGTCTTATTTTTGTGATTTGTCAATTGATATTAGCGGAGTTAGATTTCACTGTAAAGATTTAGATATGCAATTGTGTTAAGATTACTTTAGGAGACTCTATTGATAATTGCAGCTGTTTTAGAAACCCTGTAAGATGAATAAATGACTAAGCTGTCTTTCCACACCGTTGCCCACCGTTTACACCTGTCTGTCCATGCTGCACACACTGTTCTGAGCATGGCCACTCTGTTACAGTTGTTATTTTCTGTAGTCTCTGATGACTTACTGTTTTGGGTGCGGAAGCCCAGAATTTGGACAAGTCCACTGCTTTCAAAGAAAGGCAGGAATACTAATTATGGGTGTAAGTCCTTAAAAATTTAATGAGGAAGAAGCTATCAACAGTATTTATTGAGGTGCCACATCTTTCTGTTTCTGTAGAGAATTGTCACTTCCTGTAGAGCCAAAGGGTTTAAAAACTGTTTCTGTTAGTTTCTCAAATTTTTAATACAGTTTTGGAAACTATCTTCTGGAAGCACCTGCTTTCTTACCATTTATTTTCTGAAGAGTCTTCTAAAGAAGGCTTTATTTTGGGGCTCGTTCATCTTCTCTCTGTTTAGTGCATGTGATACTCTTAAAAGCTCTGCAGCTTACACCTTGTGCACGACCTTATAGGTGTTTGGTCGAGCCAGGTGATTTCACTGTTCCGAGGCTGCCCCTGCCTGTATGGCTTTTCTCAGCACCTGAGAAAGGGCCCATTCCACTCTGTCTTGCTACTTCGCATTTTAACTAAAGAATCAACCCATCAGGCTTCTTGCCTGTGTTAAGGTGAATACCTTCTATTTTGTTTTAAATCAGATAAAGGCTATCTTGGTGGGACTGATGTAAGTATTGCAGTTGTGTTATATGAGGAGTGTGTGTCACTTAGGTTAAGGTTTTAAAAAGCCATTAGTCCATAATTATGTTTTTCAGAAATGTAATTACAGTTTTAAATGATTCCTTATTCTATATGAAATCAACCAGTGCATTAGGATATGTAATGACACATCACTGCCAATTTTGTTCATAATAACAGCTGCTAATCCACATTATAGACTGTAATTACTTAGTAGCTTTTTTTTTAAACTGGTGTTTTCTTTGGCTGTGACATTTTGAGAGTGTCATTTTCCTCTCATACTTTTAGTGCAGTCTTTGGTTGCACTGTGCACTTCTCCCATACACAAAACTGTTAGTGTCAGTGGTGGAGACCCCATTTGCAAATGTGTAGGTCACACATGAAAAGGACAGAGACTTTTTAAGGTATTTTAGCACAAAGCATATTCATGCTGGAATTAAAAACCCCAGAAAGCAGCAGACATATAATAGGTCTTTTATTTTAGGTCTCTATCCTATAATCAGCTTTTTTTAGTCCCGTCTTCAAAGCTCTTCACATGCATTGACAAAATAACGTCTCAATACCTTGTGATGTTTTGCACGTGCTGAAATAGATGTATATTAAGTCACTTGCACCTCATTTCAAAAAAAGAGGATCATGGTGGCAGGTTCCAAGCCCCACTCCTCAGAGATATAGACCATGCTATCCCTTCCTTGTCCTCACTAGTTTTGGGGGAAAGCAACTCAGGAAATCATCTTAGTAGTGCCCTCCTCCTGCAATCAGCTACAGCAAATGTGTCTGCGCAAGGTACCAGGCCTTCCTTAAAACTGTGAAGCTGGAAAGCTCCACTCCTGTCCTTTTGGTTGCTGGACCAGGGCCCTGTCTGAATACATGGATAGCTGTGCAAAGAAAATGCACATTGTGCTGCAGCAGTGCCTCAGTAAGAATGGATTCAGGGCTTGCCCAGACCATGCAGAGAGCATCTGCTGTCTGCTCCTTGCAGAAGCAGTATAGTTTCTGTCTGCCAGGAAATCGTCATCAAGAGCAACATCCACCGAAAGCAAGTGCTGGTAGTACAAACTTCTGTAGTGGCCACTCGATTTGTCATGATGTGGTCTTCATCCTTCCCCTCCTCGATACACATTTTAAGGAGTTGTGAAAGCAAGGGAAAGGGGGAGGAGGTAGCTTGAGATTAACTGTGCTCTGCATTTTGTACTGAACCATTTTCTTCGTGACTAAAGATCATATGAATTTGCATTCCCTTCTTCCCCGTGGCACCAGACAAGCAAAATGTGAAATAAAAGAGAACTTTTTGGCTTTTAGCTACAATTTTGGGAAAAAAGGTTACAAGTTCAACAAGTGTGAAATTCTGTTGCAGATAAAAGTAGAAGCTGAATAGCTTAGGTGCTTTGCCTCAACTTGAATCCCAGTGATGTATCCGAACCACCACAGAATAGGGATGAGCACCTCTCAGAGAAGACCATTCTCCCATTTTTGTTGCTTTTCACTGCATTTTTTTGAAAGGGAGTGTTTTGGAAGAGGCAAATATCCAGATTCAGCACATGGGCTAGTGATTCAGCTCTTGTACAAAAGCTGCTTGCTTGGAAACCTTTTTCAAATTTACTGTTTTACTGGCAATTTAATTGCGCACTGTCTGGCAGAGCGTCCAGCACTCTGCTGGAGTTAGTGCAGCATCAGAAATTGATTTTGTTCCCAAGTTGGTGGTTGCTGTATCTTTTCTGTCCACTAAGGGGCAGCTGGAGCCTTGTACGTCAGTCTACAGCTGTCTGAAAAATAGCGTACAAATGGTTTCCGTTTCTTGTTCTTTATGCTACCCTATAAAGACAATGTCTTGGGAAAGTTACATATATCTTGCCCATTTGTTTCATCTTGAAGTAGTTCGTCTGCTGCACTGCAGCAAACCCTCTATCATCAAGCCCCAGATGAGCCTCAACTGTGAGAGTTCCAGTGGCAGCCTGTACTAAGAGTTTTCATTGTATCCTGATTTCTTCCTACCTTCCTTCCCTCCCCTTCCCATTTTTATCAGTTTTAATTTTAAAATAAGATACTTTGTTTAGTGCATGCCCTATATGTTCTTGAGACTTAGTTAATTCTGCCACAGGCTTGCATCTCTATGCACAGAGTCATCGATTGCCTTAAACTTTGCTGTTGCACAGTAATTCTTTGAAACTGCAAGACTGCACAGACTATTTTAATCTGTCTGCTGTAGGGATGGTAGACTCACAAATATCCTGAAGTAAAGAGAGAATTTTTACTCTTTATTGCCTTATTCCAAACTTGAGAGCATGTGACCTTCAGAGTAGGAGTTGCCAGCAGTTCAGATACTGGACCCTTTCAGCTTCTGCTTTGTTTTTTTCAGCAATGAAGGGAACTTTGATCACAGAATTTCAGTTGAACTTACCTATTAAGGAATCCTCCAGATTTCAAGAGATTAATTTAAGCTCATAAAGAGACAACCCATATCACAGAGCTTCTTATATAGTCTTTCAGTGAACTCATTTGTATGAGTTTAGTTTATTTTACTTGCAAGCAAAAGAAGTTGAATCAAATGGAAGCCTGATTTAATGCCAGTGAGTGTCCATGCAAGGCTTTAGTACTCTGTAAAATCATACTTTTAATGAGTTCAGATAAGTTTTCCTGAGTATTCCTGCCAGTCAGTTCCTGAAAGGACTTTTGTTCAAAGTCATTTCCCTTTGAAAGTGGAATAAGTACCTCAACAATCTGTATGCAGAAAGAGTACCTATATGGGACCTTAGTGTATAGAATCCAGAGTTTCATAAATTACCATTTTAACTTACCCTTTACAGACTTCTGTTCATGGAGGAGTTTAAAATGAAGTGAACATAAGTGATTTTAGTGGTCGTTGTCTTTCTGAAAAGAGTGCTTACAAAGGAAATTGCGTGTCTTAACCAATTACTTAAACTGGAATTTTATTTCACTTACTGTAACTCTTTTGAGTGTTCTCACAGAAACTTGCTTAAAGACAAAGCTGTCCATATGACAGCCATGTTTCCTGAAACAGACTGTACAAAAAAAGTTACATTATGTTTACTGTACAAATTAGAATTGTTGATATTTCACAAACCTTAACATTAATATATTAAGATTTGATTTTATTAGCAATTAACAATGGCATTAGTTCTTTCTGTTATTTCTCTCACTGTGGTTTTTCTAGAGTCAAACTTGACTCTGAGAGGAATGGGATCCTGAGGCAGTCATGGCTGTTCATGCCACATCTGGAGAGCTGCACAAAAGTCTACCTCTGTAGGCTATTTATTTAGATGATAGAAATGTATTTTGAAGTGCAGTTTGAGCTCTAGTTTTTAAGCACCTGTTCCAGACAATTACTGTTCTTCTGAGTTGAATTGTCAAAGACTGCATACAAGGAATAATGTGGGGCTAGTAGAGCATTCTGTTTTCTTACAGAATTCTGACTCTGGATTTTTAGGTACACAGGATTTAGTCACACAGCTTGTAGTAAAGAAGTGCATGGAGTGACAGCATGGAACAGTGACAAAGCATCAAAGACCTAAAACGTGTATGACATTGCTTACCAGCAGTCTTATCTGTAAAAGCTCCAATGAACAAGCTGCTGCGGCTGCTAACATACTGGCCTGAATTAGGGTGAGCAACTGACAGGGCTGGAGTTACATGTCCCATTACATCCCATCCTCTTTCTGGTACTTCCATTACAAAATTTAAGAAAGCAGGCTTTACCCATATGTAATTTGTAGCAGTACTAATTATATTAAATGTAAGTTGCATTCTGCTACTATAATGATGCTTCACTGTATTGTGTTAATTGCAGTTTCAAGTGCTTCACAGTTTGCAGGAATAATTCACTGGATCAGCCTAGTCATCCTGTCTGTTTTCTTTTCAGAGGTATGTATAATCAAAGTCTTTCACCACATACGGAACTGCAAAGTGTTTTTATGCTGTCACTGGAATTAGCAACAGTTTAACAGTAATTTGACTGTGAATAAATGTAGCACAGGGTGCTTTAAGAAGAAGAAAAAGAAAAAAAAAATTTAACAGTTGTCGCTCCTGCTTAGCAAACTAAAAAATCTTGTTTAGATTAGTGCTGTTTGTCAGTTGCCTAGAATTGGCAAGGAAACATGGAAGATACTGTCTTACAAATTACAACTGGAAAACTACAAAAAATAAATAATCATTTCTGAATCACTACAGGCACAGAACAGGACTAGTTTCATCCATTTATTCTCACAGAAATCTTATCTGTGTCACTGGGTCTAAGGTATAGGAATAAGATACATTCTTCAGGAATAAAGATCCACAGGGTTTTTGTACAAAAAGATCTGTTTTAAGACCAGAATTATCTCCTCTCACAATTTATGTAGGTAGTTTAGATGTTCTAGGTTGCTGCATATAGATACAATACGAGAATGAAACAAATGGTGAATTTCGTTGCAAAAATTTTATGATTGTACGCATTGGAAAAGGCTGTAGTAATGATATAACAAATGACCAAATTGGGATACTCTTTTATAGTTTTCAACTTTATTCCAAAAAGAAGTCATTGGTATTGAGACATTTAGACCACTCCAGAAGTATCCCAAAATATTTTCAAGGCTATTTTTTTAGGTCATAATGTGTTACTTGTCACAAAAAAACATTTTATGTTGGTTAAGTTGGAAGGCAGCTTGGACTTAAAAATTTTAAAATATTTTTTTCTAGTTCCATAGGAGAACATATTATCATCGAAACAGTTGTTAAAGTCTTCACTTTGCGGTAAATTTAGGTGAAGGTTACAAAAAGAGAAATGAAAAAACAAGGAGCTGTTATATCTGCAAATGATTCGATAGATCATTTGTGTTGAATTCATACTCACCATATTATACCACTGCTTATTTCCATGGTTCTATTAATAAAAAACATTTATTTAGATATATCACTTTGTATTTCTACTTTGTATTTCTACTCATAACAGGGATTTTCCAGCTGGTGTTGCCAGACAGACAGTGGGTGCTTTCTGAAAGGATTCCTTGATAACAGGAGTCTCAAGATTGCTTTGCATCCTAGCCTTCTGGTGCTACAGTTACACAGAGATACAATTACTATCCCCGTCCTTTGATGGTGATTGTGGGTTGTAGGATACATATAAACTGACTGAAAAAAAATAATCTCTAAACAATTAAAAAATTTTGCAGAGTCTTTTCTTTGTGAATTTCACATCCTAATTCTCAAAGACTCAGGTTTGCTAGATGGAGTCCATTCTCTGGAAAGAAATACTTTCCCTTCTCCCTCAGAATCTCTCTTCAGTGGGGATTAGCACCCTGGAGCTCCCTGTAATCCTCAGCTTTCCATCAGGCTCAGTTTGTAACTCTACTGCTAGCAGCATGGCTGCACATGCACGCTCACCTGATCTTTGTCGCTTTCTGGAGCTTATTTCACAGAAAACTTCTCTTGTGGTCCTCAATTTCCTTCTGCGGAGGTGTAGTCTCAAGTTCTGTTTTCATTCTCTTGTACCGGTAACCACTCTTTTCAAACCCTGATGCAGTGCCTTGCTCATGTATCCCTTCCGTAGTTCAATTTATACGCTCACAGTTGTTGGTTGGTTGGTTGTGGCAGTGCAGACAGATCCTCAAGGCCAGTACTCATCTGTCTCAACAAAGAAACTAGTTGTTTCAGTTCTGCTGAGGCAGAGTACCTGCATAAGTGGATGAACTGGTTCAGAAGTGTTTTGCAGGAAAATAGTAACAGAAATACTTCACAGAGCCAAAACTAGGTTCCTGACTCACCATCCTCATTTTGGATCTGCGTGGGCTTTTCTCCTTCCTTCTGTATTAGGTATTTGGAACTACTTTTCTTTCTCTACTTGCTGTTCTTGTTTTTTATAAACCTCTTACCACTCACTGTATTATCTATTTCTGTCTTCCAAAGTACCGTCCTTCACCTATTTGATTATGGTTTGAATTTACACCAAAGAAAAAATGAGGCCACAAGGCAGCCATGTAAAGTGCACTGAGGAGGGTATTGGGTATTTTTGGATATTGGTTCATTTGACAGCTCAGAGTGCCTGACTGGGTTAAAGCAACAGAGGTGGCTCCATAGAGCAACTGGATGTGCTTCAGAGACCACAGATTGGGAAGAGAATGAAGGTGTATACCTTTCCTACTGGGTTTGCTGGGGTTGGCCTTGGGCCAGGTTGGTTTAATGATCGACAGCACATCTATTTGTGTTGAAATGTGTCTCATCGGAGGAAAAACAGTGGGTTTAATTTTTTTTCTCATCCAAATCAAAAACTTGGATTTTTCAAGAGGTTACGAAATATTGCAAGAATTGCAGATCACGTTGGTTTTTTTTTTTTTTTTTCATCCATATTAATTTTATTTACTCTTTTGGTGCTTTCAGGGGATTTTTTGCCCTCTGATTCCTAGTACCATGAGTCAGCTGTCTTTGGAACTGTTTGTTTAGAAGATTGTGTGTGATAGTGAGATTTTGCAGTCTGTGACTATTCATGCCAGGATGATTTTCCAGAGATGAGCAAGTTTAATTAGTTTGCTTGGATATAACAGGCAACTGCTGGGGATTGATTAGTCCTTCAGTCAGTGTGGTTTTCCTCAAAGCAAGGATTCAGGGTTTCTTGTGCTCAGAAAGAGTTGTTTCCATAGCAAGCACCATGTCCTAAGTTTGGATGTTTATTCTGTAGTTTGGTTCCCGTTAGTTGTAAGTGTGGATACACAAATCTTCAGAAAGGCCTCCCTGCAGGAGTACAAATGATACAAAGTTGTAAAAGACGTTAAAAACCAGAAAACTTTCAGCACAAAATCTGAATGTCTTGGAAAAAATATGACTGATTAAAAGCTGGTGCTGTAAAGGCATTGCAAGTAATTACAGTCCTATCATGTTGGAGTTAAACAGGCACTGGCTTTCTGCTTGGTTAAAACGAAGGGGACAAACATACCAGCAGCTGGCAAATGCCAGCAGAACAGTTGCCAAGAAAATTAAGTAGTTACTCGCACAGCATCTTCCTGCTCTCTCTAAGGCTTGTGGCTATAACACAAGCATAAAGGAATTTATTGCACTCTGTTAATTTTATATTCTCTGTCACTGTCTGTGACTTTCCAACATTAAAATATCCTTATTGAAGTGAAGTGCACATCAGCTCTTTTTGCTTTTTTCCAAGTATTTGAACAAGATTTACTAGTGGTGATGACTGTGTATGTTTGTCTCTGTTTACATACATCACTATGATTTGTCTGTGCACCAAATGTTACCCAGATGTTAAGACAGAAGAGAAGAGAAAGACACTGGGGGGGAAACCCCAGTACCAACAGCAAGGCAAGGCCGGGGTTACACCCTATCAAGAGGGCAATTTCTGCCTTGATAATAGTTGGCTGAGAAAAGGAAGATGGGGAATGTCACAGTGTTTTGGTAAGTGGATTGGAGTCTGCTTGTATTTTAATAGTCTTATCACATTGCCACAAATACATAATTCTGTAGCTGTTGTTCAGTTCTGCTTTTCCACTAAGATTGATGAGACTGTGTGCAAGAATTGAGTTCTTTCATAGTAGTTGTTTGCATTGCTCTGTATGTGCTTCAGTCAGCTAAGCACTCAGGCATTCTGCTAGCTTTCAGCACTCGAGTGTTTCCCTGGGAATAACCAAGTCTTCTGATGTGCTTAAAGTTAGGGAACCATGGAATTCTGACTTTTTTCCTGCATCTATGTATAAGAAACAAGTTCTCAAATTGAGTAGAGTAAGTCTGGGGTCCTAGCTGATAAAGAATTTGTTTCATTAGCTATGACTCACAAGTGCATTTTAGATTTTCACTTTTAGGAGATTAAAAAAAAAAAGAGACTTTTCTCATCCTAGATGTTAAAAGGAAGCGTTCATAGTAGTCTGACCCTTTACTCCTTGTTAGTAGCAATCCTTGGAAGGAGTAAAACCTGATGAAGACCCTACTGTTAGAGTTCTGTTAAAAAGGAAAAACATCCCAAATGAGAGAACTAAGAGAAAATAGTGTCCTTGCCATATAGATTTTTTTTAATAACAAATTCATGATTTTATATTAGAGAAATTGGTTATGTTACTTTTGTTACATTTTTATGAGTTTCAAAGAGCTGAGCAGAAAGAAAATAATCTTCTATTAATTCTTCCATAAGCTGTGTCTTCTTTTCTGGATGTTTACTTTCATTCCATATACACACAACTTTTCTCATGGTGCATAAATTCACTGCATTGCTGGCTGTGTATGATTTGATTTTTAAGGGGCTTGATTGGGGGATTCAGGAACAAAGATATGGATTTTATATACTAATATAATTTATAAAGGTAAATTTAAGCTTCCTTCTGTGCTAGTGTGTAAGAAATTAAATATTTAATAGACTGTGAAATTTCTTTTCTAACCACTTTCAGTGCTTCACAAAAAAGTAGTTGCTAGGGAAAATGGTTTTGTAGAGGTCTAGGGATTTAGCTAGACACCTCTCTGAAATGCCAGTCTTCCCTTTTCATTTCTGAGAACATACCTGACTTATATGGTGTGCTTTATCAGTGCTTCATCTGTGCTTCCATCTCTTGATAGTCACAGTCTAGCGCCTGCTACATGGTACGTTTCAAAGATAAGATTTAGCGCCACTGTAATCATGCCCAGAGGGAACTTCTGATGCACGCTTGCTTAAGACCAGTTTTCTATCCAATCTGCATTTACCTTATGATAGTATACTGCATCTCTAGTAAGGCATTTCTATTCGTGAAAAGCCCTTTCAAATCTATCCAGAGTTGTGAGTTTAAAATTCATTATTTTTCTCCATATTCTAAGAACAGATATTATGGGAGAACATACAAAAAACCAGAACTGCAGTGTTTATGCAAAGATACTATATGATATCATAATAATAATGTTAGTGGTAGTCAGTGAAAAAGAATATGCTGTGTTCATGTCTATTAGTGTCACCAAACTTTTGCAGTTAATTATTCTTGTGTGACCACATGTGCTAATAGAGCCACAGCAGTTACAGAGTACAGTACATGGGGAGTGTTTTGTACTGGGCAATATGTGAGGTGAGGTCAGTAGTTACACGTTTCCCTTTCAGAGCCTTGGTGGAAGAGAAGCTGTGTGAGGAGGATGCCTATGCACTGAAAACAGAAGGATGTCTCAGTTTAAAGATGCTGATATGTTCCTCCATGCTCTGGTGGCCTGGGGATAGAGTGCACTAGACCGGCTCATGCAGTATCTCAGGACAAGCACACCAGAAGATGGCAAAAGAAGATTCTTTAAAGTAGTGAATGAGCTAAGGCCTCTGTGGAGTGACCCAAACCATAGAGGTTATAAATTACAGATTGGGTACAAGCTGTTATTTCTGGGAAAGATTTAAATAAATATTTGGTCTTACAAGATATATCCAAAAATCAGAAGCATAATCTTCAGTTTCTGTACAAGCCAGAGGTAAAGACACTCTGTAACAGATAGATTAGTTTTGTGGCGGTGGAAGGAAGGAATGAAGGGCTTTTGTAAAGACACCCTTTCCCCCCACCTCCATCCTATCTCTTGTACAATCACGACCCTCATCTCGAAATGCACAGTTGCTCTCCTTCGCCGTTAACGAAACCTGGTGGGCCAGCTTCACCTCCTGCGCTGCCTCTTTTTGATGTCTTTACACTATGCATGAATTTGGCACAATGAGTCACTGAGTAGTAAATTGTATATTAACTGTGCAAGCAAAAAAGTATTTAAAATTACCTAATGTACATTGCGGTCAGCTGACAAATGTAGCTAACTCATGCAGATTGTGAGAATTCACATGGCTGGCTCAGCAAAGGACTTGGCCGGGTTTCCCTACAAAATTAGTGAGAAAACCTGCAGCATCACACAGTTCTTCATAAACTTGACTGCAGACAGTTAATGTTGTACAAACAACTATGTGTTTGTACAACAGGGACACTGTCAACTTCAAAATTACATTTCTGTCTGAAAAGTGGTTTAGAATTTTACTTTTATCTGAGTTTACTCCAAGTTAAAGAAGTTAACAGAAGGGTTCAGTCATTTACCTTTTATTAGTGCACTGAACAGACTTTTATGTAATAATCTAGCTTTTCTCAGAAAACAAAAAAATGTATTTCTGATATAACTAAAAAAAATATATGTTAAGGACTTTCTAATTAAAATATTTCCAGTCAAGAAATGTTAAAGCATTCTTTTTCAAGTACAGAAAAAAACAAGCTGGCAGTGACCTTTAACAGAAAAGTACTCACACTGTTATTTAATGTTTGCTTTCAAATCTATGTGTCCAAAAATGCAGAATGCCTGTAGTGTAATGCAAAACTATGTGTGTGCATTTGCTACAGTGCTGAAAAATGCCTGCACATCAGTAGGAAACAGCAGTGCTGCTCTATTTTTTCCCTATTTCTTGTAGACTCTTGTCTCTACAAACGGTAGAGTGACTAACATTTATGTTTTGTCTGTGATTAATATTACAGTTGCAATTCTCTTAATTCATATGTATTTTTCTGTTTGGTCCATGTACAGTGTGTAGGAAGTTTCCTGGAGTATTAATTTCTGTCTCTGTTTTTTTCAGATTCTGCTACAGGTTCTCATTTTTTAAGTTCTATACAGAGAAAGTACACAATCAAATGCAATATGTATTTGTTTGAAAGGTATTTTTGATTGCTTAGGGAAAATACTAAAATGTTGTTTATAAGTAACACCAACGCTTTCATTTCAGTCAAAGTATTTATTTTATTGAACAGTCAGGGAGATTTATCTAGTGAAGTCCAAATTTGCTTGGTTTGGACTCCTCTGGGTAAGAGTTATGGCAGCAGCAGTGGATGTGACCTTGTGCTTTGTACAAACAGAAGGAGAGTAGAGAGAGGTAAACCTAGTTTGAAGTTGCCACTAGTGAAGACTGGTCCGTGGGCAGTAAGCATGTGGCACCTGTTGTCTCCAGATGCACACAGTCTGTGACTCACTCATGGTACTTTCTCAGGGTGCCCAGGAAAAGCTGCCTTACATGGCTTTTGTCACTTCAGTGGTGATGTGGGGTTTTTTGTTAAGAGTGACAATGCTGGCGCATAACTTTAAGACTTTCCATACAGAACAGGTGTTTTTAAAGCTTAACCCTCAGTTGTGCCCAATTTGTTCTGAAGAGCGTGCCTCTCAGATGGGGAACTGGGTTCATTCTGCCCTCACACTCTCCTTCCTACTGTGTGTCTGCTCTAGCTGAGAGCAAAGATGCTAATCATCAAGGCCTTTTTTGTGAGGAGGAGACCTATCTTGTAGAGGTAGCACCAACAACCATTAATGCATTAAATGTCTGCCGAGTAGACTTCCAGTCATTGCTGACTTGTGCTGATTCACACCAGCAGACTGAAAATTAAAACATTTGTGCTAGCTTCCAGCCCTTGGAACTGCTCAGAGCCATTAATATGACAGTAGGACAGTCTGATTTAAACACTGCAGTGAGGAATTAAAAAGGTAGAAAGGAAAGCCTTTTTTTATGTTCCTTCAACAGCCCCATGTTAAATCATATTTGGGGTTGTGAGACAGTGTTTCTATTTTCTTTGTGCAGATATGCCTTATTATTTCAGTGAAAATACCTTTGTGCACACCTGTCCAAAGGAAGAAGGATTTTCACCATCAGTTACTGTAAAGGTGTTCAGCCATCCTTTAGTTAGGTGCTCATTGACGTATCACTTCATGAATGCTGCCAAAGCATAGAAGAAAACGAGCCAGATTTCTCTATGCAGTCAACAGGGTTGCTATAGGAAGGGTAGCATCCCAAGCTTGAAAGAAGGAAATCCTCATGCATTTCCTGATGGCTGCCTGCTGCGGAACTTGCTGTGGTGGACCCCAGGTTAACTAATATAGCTGAACTTACAGGCTCATGAGTAACTTGTACTTAAGCGTTTTGTGCAGCTTCTCAATGGGGAGCGAGGGAAGTGCTGACAGAGGAGTTGGGATGCTTTTGTCTGAAAGTATTCTGCTCAGGGGCGTGAGCTGAGGCTGCAGTAATGCCTTGATTGTACAGCAGCATGTATTCTTACGCCTTGTACTTACATCGCATCATGCTGGCGAATTTGGAGTCATTAAGGGATTTGAGGAGCTGCTGTTGTGCATCTCTTCCTCCGCCTATAAACCTTGAACCATGTAGGTTAATAAGGAAATGGCTGTGAACCTTATTCTTATGCTGCATTTGTAAAATGCTTTGGAAGTAAAATGTTCTTTTTAAGAGTACAGACCAGCAGCATTAGGAGCTCTTGGTGTCTATGCAGAGTGTCATTTTTTTGTAGAGAAAAGAGCATGCTGCATTTTCTCTTCTGGCTGGTGACTCCCTTTGTCAGCCAGACTTGTCTAATGCTTCACATATGCCATTTCTGAGTAAGCGTTGGCTGGTTTGCTTTCCTGCTCATTGATGGTATGAGGCTGGGCTCTGAAAGCACCGAATCTCTCACAGCAATGTCTCCCTCTGCAAAGCAGGATTAAGTGCTGTTATCCAGGTTTGGAGTGCCAAGATAGAGCTCAGCACAGTCATCCCAGGCCAAGTGAGGCAATTGGGTTCATGGGGTTTGGCAAAACCATGCATAGGAACAGTACTGAAAAATCCCGTGGTGTTCTGCAATTAGTGCTGGTATGTTTGGCGCAAATTCAGAGTTGGTTGGGATTTAATATATTTGTATTTGTCATGAAGAGGAGATGCATATATTCATCACAGTCACTTACTTTTTTTCTGCACAGTTCTTGGCATGGTCACCCCTCACACATAGGCCCGTCGAGCTCTCTGTCATTAGTACTGTTCTTTAATGGAGAAAGTAGCACTTTGATCTTCTTTGCAAGGCACGCAGCTGCAGTTAGGCTCTTCATATCTGTAGTGTCTGTCAAAATCTGACCTTGATGTTGCTATTGGCAGAAAACATCCCTACCAGTTATGCTTTTACGTGAATTCGATTTCAGTCATTTGTTGGCTGATAGAATTTTTTTTTTTAAACTGCATCTTCTGAAAGCCAGGTTAAAAATTAGGAAAGATGCCATTGGATTTTTTTTAATGGGAATTCACCATTGGTTCATTCTGTGTTCTTTCTTTATTCCTCTTTTCTAGCTACTTATAGCTGTTTTCCTTCATAGAGGAGGATCACAGAGATACTTTTCTCCCTTATCCTGTGACTTTTTGGGATTTTATAGTAAGACAACAGCACTGTGCTCCAGAGGGGGAGAGTAAGAGCCTCTGCTCTTCAGTGATGAAATGTCAGTATCTTTAGGCACCAAGGGGCAGCAGTGCCTCTCTCCTTGTCATAGGAAGCAGTAAGCACTGGCATCTCAAAGGTGGCAAGGAGAGAGAATCTTCCCCCATTCCAGCTGAGGGGGCCCCGAAGTGGATATTATATAGGCTTGGGTCAGGGGGGTGGGTGGGGAGAGTTGGTAATCTAAATCTCTAAAGGGAAATTTTAGGAGGATGGAAAGGCTGATGAACATTTGAACTTGGTACTTGTTTATGGAAGTTTCACTGAATCAATATAGTGGTTGGAAAGCAATACCTACTTTTATAATACAGAAGTGTAACTATTTCTAGATCTTTATTATTATTCAGAAGAAATGCATAATGCTTAAATAAGACAAAAAATGATCCCTTAAATAGATAAAGGACTAAATGTTTATCTAAAATTACAATAACATCTGTCATTTTTCCCCCTTTTGTATTTTACTAGACTATTTTGAGGATTGTGGTCCTTGGCATATGGGATTACATTGAAAACAAAATAGAGGTAAGCACTCTTACTCTTTGTACTGTTTTCCAGGCAGGCACAGTAAGAATATTAAGAACTGCTTTGGGTGGCTTTGTTATAGACCTGATACAATACAGTATCTTTTAACTCGGATAAATATACACATTCTTCTCATTATATGCATAGTTGTATGATGCAGTCCCTTTTTCTGTGAGAGACTCAGAAGAGTGCGATATTTGGAAATATTTTATGAAGGGAGGGATTGTGGCATTTTTGGTCTTTGTGTCTATTTATTTTGTTGTTAGAACTGTACTAGTCTAGCTATTGGTATTGCTACCCTGAGATAATGAGCAATATGAGTAAAAATTGTTATGTGACTTGTGTAACCTCATTCCTGTAATCAAGTTGAAACTAGAACTGGTTGAAAAATTGTGTGTAGTTTTCTGATAGCAAATACTAGTTTGGCAACCCCCCCAATTTGATTGTGAAATTATTTTTTAATTAAATTGAATTATGATAAACACTGTAATTTGTACCTCAAAAATGAGGTAAAATGTGCAGACTGTTGCAGAGACAGATAAGGAAATGCATGTGTTATAAGGAACACATAATCCCAATCTGAGCCAAAATGTGGAGATCAGGAAAATTAAAAGCTCTTTCTTGATACTGTCTGATAAACTAGTGCTGCACAGGATGCACCAGAAGAAAATGTGAGTCTGGAGGCTTGCACATTTTTGTAAGAAACTTGTAAACATTTTAACTTGTTTTGCTAAAAAACTGAAGTGAAACTTAAATTATTGATTCAGAGATTCTTATTATTGAGACTAAATGCAGCAGTTTCTGATAATTCATTTTGGTAATTTGGAATGGAGTGATACTGTTCACTGCCCATCAAGTGGTGGCAGTCAGAAGTGTTTCTTTTCAATACACTGAATTTTTATGCACAATTCTGAATGTGTATCACAATCTGAATGTTGCCTCCTTATGCAAACCATTAATCAATGGTCTTTGGCAGCTGGGA